CCCCCCCCGCTTTTGAGTCAGGGTCTTGTGTAGTTCATCCAGTGTTTAACACACTATGTATATAGCCCAGGCTGGCCATGAACTTCTGGCAATCCTCCTGCCTCAGTCTCTCACTTGTTGGGATTCTAATTGTATACCATCATGCTTAATATTTTGGTTTTTTTTTTTTCCTTTTCTGTAGTAAGGTTTAATGAGATACTTAGTAATGCCTCCTTTTTCTCATTATTTTAGTGACTAATAAAATACTTCACTTTTGTTTAGTTATACATGCACACAAATTAGTTATTTTGCAGTGCTGGGTACTGAACCCAGGGCTTCGTGTATGCTCAGCCAATGAGCTGCCTCTCTTGGCCCATTGTATTTTGAGATAGGATCTTAACAAAGGTGGCCTTGAGTTTTTGGTCTTTCTGCCTCAGCCTCCTAACCCTAACCCTAAGTAGCTGGGATTTCAGGCAAACACCATTGGTCCTGGGTTTAGTAACTTACATTTTAAGTTTGGCTTATGAATTTGGTGATTTTGTTACTTAAGTTATAAGACCACATTTTAATATCTTACAGTCCTTAGAATTCAAGTATAATTTATATTTTTGTATCTAGCTAAATCCTGACTTGTAAGTAAGTACCTTTGGCAGTTAACCATAGAAGCTCAGATCTTAGCTCTTTACCTATTTAATGTACCCTATAAGATAGGACTGAATATTTCTATTGCATACAAACTCTTAAATTTTGCTTTAATTTTATTCTATATAAAAATACCGTTGACTAAGCTTTTGGAATTATCAAGGTTTTTTTTTTGTTAGCACTAAGAATCAGACCCAGGTCCTTGTGTGTGATAAACACCTGCTGTGCCACTGAACTACATTTGCCAGTCTGGTGCGGGTCATTTTTACTCTGATAGAGCCTCATCTCACTTCTTGCTGCTTTTCTGTACCTTAAGTTTTCTAGCTGGACTTCTGATTTCGAATGGTGAGGAACAATGAGCAAATAAAAAGAAACCTTGATCCTTTCTTTCACGTCCACTATCAAGATTTTAGTTTACTGCTGTGTCTCATTGGTTGTGACATTGTTTGATAAATTTTGCAGAGGTTCTTAAGAATGCATGTTGTGAGGGAGATACTCTGGTCAGTTCTCTCTGAAGAGTTGTTCCTCAGATGGTTTTGTTCCTTTTGACCCAGTGAGTTCAACAGCAATTTTTAGTCTTTTAGTCTCAGTGGATCATCTATCCATTGAGTGTGGCATTTAAGTCCTCATCCCTCTAAGATTCATGGATCTCTCAGTGTTATTCCCAGAGGTATTAAGATGAATTGGGAAGGTACTCTGTTTTTATTTTAAACCCCAAACTCTAGTGCTATGTTGCTTCAGTGTATCAGTTTTATTCTACTAAATTTATCATAGAGGATTACATGAAAAATAACCATAGATACCAGTATATGACTCTAGCACTATAATAATTTGCTTATAAGACCTGTTGTCAAATTTCTTTTATGAAAAGAACAAAGCAAGTCTTTTTTTTTTTTTTTCCTTTTTGGTGGAATCGGGGATTGAACTCAGGCCCTTGTGCAAAGTTGTTTGTTTGTTTTTTGTTTTTGTTTGTTTTTTGCAAGTCTTTATTCTATAACATTAATTAGGGGCTGGGGAGATAGCTCAGTAGAATAAGCACTTGCCAGGTGCAGGGGCCTGAGTTAATCCCCAGTTCTGCCAAAAAAAAATTAGCAGAAGTTAAAATCATAAATCATACAAAGAACCTTTATTCTTTCTACATTCATTATACTAACTCAGACATAGAGAACTCATCCAGTTTAATTGGACCCTGGATCTGTTCAGCAACTATACTATAGGTGTCTTCCATTGGAATTCATGTTCTTTCATCACTTCAAAATTGTAGTATCTCTGTTTGAAAGCTTCCTGTACTTCATTCCCCAAAGTTCAAAGAAAGTATTAAGATACACAGTAATATATTACCACAGTACTGTAGCCCCAGAATACAGTCAACATTCCTTAGTTAGGACATGTATAATAACATAAACTAAAATTCTAGCATTATACTGGTTATTATGCTGGCATTATTTGTGCAAAAGAAATTATATTAAAGAATTAGTTTTGTTTGTGTTTTTCTTTCCCAACAAAAAAGGGTTTTTTTTTGAGACAGGGTCTTACTATGTAGGCTGGCCTTGAGATCACTTTGTAGCCCAGGCTGGTCTCAAACTGGCATTGATCTTCCTTCTCCAACCTCGTGAGTGCTGACATTACATATATGCACC